GCTCAGCTCTTAGATGAGATTTGTTTTGAAGAAATCTCCTGAAGGAAGGGCTTTACACCTATTCATTGTTTATAATAATATTGAACCACATCTATGTGTGATTGCTGCTACCAACCCTTTATAATTTTTCTATAACTAATGCTATGAGACTTGAATAAAAGGTCACTGATTATCAACCTGGGCTGGAGCGATAGCACAGCGGTAGGGCGTTTGCCTTGCATACAGTCAACATGGCCAACCCGAGTTCGATTCCTCCGCCCCTCTCGGAGAGCCCGGCAAGCTACCGAGAGTATCTCTCCCGCATGGCAGAGCCTGGCAAGCTCCCCGTGATGTATTCCATATGCCAAACACAGTAACAACAAAGTCCCCAATGGAGACGTTACTGGGCCCGCTCGAGCAAATCGATGAACAACAGGAGGACAGTGATTACCAACCATCCGGTGGCCTCTGTTCCTTCATCCATCCGGATGATCACCGTCAGCGGCTGGGGAATGGTGATTCATCCCTGAACGCACCAAGGGGACCCTTGGGTCACCGCAGATGGGCCTGGTAACACCCAGGAACAGTAACAATATGGGGTGTTGATGATTAAACCTGAGTTAGCCACTTGGGCTGGAGCAATAGCACAGCGGTAGGGCATTTGCCTTTTGCACAGCCAGCCCGGCCAAGCCGGGTTCGATTCCTCCACCCCTCTAGGAGAGCCCAGATACTCTAGCCCGCGTGGCAGAGCCTGACAAGCTCGATATGCCAAACACAGTAACAACAAGTCTCAAAATGGAGACGTTACTGGGCCTGTTCGAGCAAATTGATGAACAACAGGAGGACAGTTATTTTGGACAGCCACTTGCAAGGCAAAAACCCAACCTGCTGTACTATCGGTTTGCCCCCAACTTTGATTTAATTTTTAAATAAAATGTGGGACTTAGGTCAAGGGTTCCTTTGTGTTTTGACCTGTGGGTGTCCAATCATTCCATCCAAGGTCTCTCTGGGTGGGGCTGAAGCAGTAACACAACTGGTTAGGCATTTGCCTTGCACACAGTCGAACTGTGGCTGACCTGGGTTCGATCCCCAGGATCCCATATGGCCCCCTGAACACTGCCACCAGCCAGAACACCGCCAGGAGTAATTCCTGAGTGCAGAGCCAGGAGTAAGCCCTGAGCATCGCCAGAATGGAACCAAAAAATCCAAAAAACCAAAAAAAAAAAAAAAAAAGGCTTTCTAGGGCCCAGGGATTGTTCCGTGGCTTAAAGCGCTGGCCTTGTACCAACTGAGGCCAAGGGCTTGATCCCGGTGGGTGCTGCTTACACAGTCACAGCGGCTCTGCTCTTCAGGGTCCCTGGCACCTTAAAAATGTGCGTAATGAGACCGAAGGGATAGTACTTTGTATGGGCTGACCTGGGTTCAATCCCCGGCATCCCATATGGTCTCCTGAGCCCACCAGGAGTGATGTCTGAGTGTACAGCCAGGAGTAACTCCTGAGCATCGCCGGGTGTGACCCAAAAAAGAACCCCCCCCAAAAGAAACCCACCAGGGCTCATGGCGAACAAGACGCGCTCTCTCCAAACACCAGCCCAAGAGCTCCCCTTGGCCCACCCCTCCACGAGGGAGAAGACACCTGAAACTCAGTCTGCAGTGATATTTGCATACAGGCCACTCTGGTTCGAGCCACACAGGGCCTCCTAAGCGCCCCCAAGCTTAAGCCCAGAGCATAGCCGAATGGAGCACCCAAAAAGTCAAGTAAAATAAAATAAAATAAACATTGGTACAGAAAACATTTGAAGAATTTACATTATGAGCAAAGAGGGCAAGTCGAGGGTAAGGTGAACCCCCAGCGAGGCCGACTGCGACAGGTTCTGCAGTACACAGGATCGGCCACTAGGTGGAGCTAGGAGGAGAAGTCGGTCACTGAACAGAGATGCCCAGTGTCCTGTGGTCCGTGGCCATTCAAGTCTTGCGGCACCTAGAAGTTTTCATGGCAGAGCTTAAAAATCGAAAGGGTTTTAGCCCCAGCCCCAGCCACACAACTTCAGGGCAAATCTTTCCCTCTCCCCTGCCTCAGCTTTCTCGTGAATGAAATCAGTCTTGGACTGAAGCTGTGTTTCTGCCTTCTACAGGTTTGGGATCAAATCTACCCATTTTATGCTCTTTTTTTGGGGGGGGGGGGGCGGTGGAAGGGGGTCACACCTGGCGATGCACAGGGGTTGCTCCTGGCTCTGCACTCAGGAATTACTCCTGGCAGTGCTCAGGGGACCCTATGGGATGCTAGGGATCGAACCCAGGTCAGCCACATGCAAGGCAAACGCTCTCCCCGCTGTGCTATCGCTCCAGCCCTCCTACCCATCCTATGTACAGAACAGCTTTATTTTGTACTTCATCATTTGGAGGAGGGGGTCTGGGCCACACCTAGACTCTTAGGGGATGCTCCTAGCTCTGGGCGCTCAGGAGTCACTCCTGGATGTGCTTGGGGAGACCATCTGGGTACCTGGGATCAGCCACATGTAAGGACAAGCCCTGCTGGCTTCGAGACAGGACTCCCAGCTTTGTCTATGGGTGTGAATGTCTCAGTTTTCCAACCTGCCTTATAAACCCGTAGCCCCAGCTGATGGTTTGGGTTGCAAGTGGGGTTACATAAGCCCTCTCTCTTCTCAGACTGCTAGTTGCTGAGTAACCGTGGTGTGTGTGTGTGTGTGTGTGTGTGTGTGTGTGTGTGTTTTGGGGGCATATCTGGCAGTGCTCAGGGATTACTCCTGGCTCTGTATGCAGACTCCTGGCTACCTTGGGGGACCATAGGTGTACCAGGCATTTATTTATTTATTTATTTATTTATGCTTTTTGGGTCACACCCACGGTGCACAGGGGTTATTTTTGATTCATGCACCTCAGGAATTACTCCTGGTGGTGCTCAGGGGACCCTATGGGATGTTGGGTATCGAACCTGGGTCGGCCGCACGCAAGGCAAACACCCTACCCACTGTGCTATTGCTCCAGCCCCTGTACTGAGCGTTGAACCAGGTGGGCTGTGCACGAGGCAAGCACCCGTCCTGTTGCATTATCTTTCCAGCCTCTTCGTGAATCAACATAGCTTTTAAAAATTGTTTTAGGCGGATGAGCCTCGCCCACGAGAGCACCTGCAGAAAACCCCAGGTACGCGGGAGCCATGACTGAGATCTCCAAGCTTGCTCTGAGCGGGACTCAGCCTCCTCCCACCAGCTCCCCAGTCTTTCCAGTAGCTTGGCAAGTCACACCCACAAAATGCCCCTGGCGCCATCGCATCTCATCAACGGCCAAGAAGAGAGTGACTCTATATGCCTTACCCGTAAGTGAATCTGCTCTAGAATTATATTCTGAATTTCAAAATTCCTGGGGCGACCTCTCATGCCCACTGCTGTACCAAAAGCAGCACACATTTGATGGGGTTTAACATATAAGCTGGCAATCTCTTTTACGAGGGCTTAAATGGCTCCCGGATGAAATACAACAATCTGCACCCACTGTCCTCGTTGCGGTGGTGGGAAGGTGCTCTGGGGTGGGATTGGTTGGTGTTTGGATATCAAATGCAATGAATTATTGCCGACAGGTTTATAAAAATTAAATTTAAAAAATTGTTTTACGGGGCTGGAAAGATAGCACAGCGGGTGGGGCATTTGCCTTGCACATGGCCGATCCGGGTTTGATTCCCAACATCCCATATGGTCCCCTGAGCACCGCCAGGAGTGACTCCTGAGTGCAGAGCCAGGAGTAACCCCTGTGCGTCGCCAGGTGTGACACAAAAAGCAAAAAAAAAAAAATTGTTTTACGTGCTGTCATTTACAATACCGTTAGCAAGAGGATTTCACACAGAACATATTCCGCACTGCTCCCTGCACAGTGCCCCCTCCCGCCACCACCATCCCAAGGCCCCTCCCACCCCACATCTGAGAACAACTGCAGTTCCCTGCCCTCTGGTGGCAGCTTCCTACTGGAGAGCAGTTCTCAGTTTCTATTGCTCCTGGGCATTTAGTACAAACCTGCTTCAGGAATAAACCTCTCCTCCCCTCCCCTCCTCCCAACCTTCCCCTCCCTCCCCTCCCCTCCTCTCAACCTTCCCCCTCCCCTCCTCTCCAACCCTCCCTTCTCTTCCTCTTCAAGCTTCCCCTCCCCTCCTCCCACCCCTTCCCTCCCCCTCTTCTCCCCTCCCCTCTTGGTGCTCAGGGCTCACTCTTGGCTCTGCATTCAGGGGTCATGCCCCATGGCTCCAGGAACCATGTGGGATGTCGGGGCTCGAACCCGGGTCAGCCATATGCAAGGTAAACACCCTAGCCTCTGTTTTTGTTTCAATTTGGGGGGCCCACCCGGCAAGGCTCAGGGGTTACTCCTGGCTCTGTGCTCAAGAATTACCCCTCGCGCTGCTTAGGACCATATGGAACCTGTGTTCCCCGGGATGGAACTCGTGTCGGCACTGGCACTGTGCGTATGCACAGTTACCACCCACCCTTTGTGCTATCATTCTGGCCCCTATTTTTTTTTTCTCACCTTAACCCTTGTCTTTCCAGTAATAGATCTTCCAGGGGATCTGATATCACTATGAGACTCTCTCTCTCTCTCTCTCTCTCTCTCTCTCTCTCTCTCTCTCTCTTATTTTTTTTTCTTTCTGGGTGAGACCTGGCTATGCACAGGGGTTCCTCCTGGCTCTGAACTCAGGAATTATCCCTGGCAGTGCTCAGGGGACCCTATGGGGTGCTGGGAATCGAACCTGGGTTGGCTGCGTGCAAGGCAAACGCCCACCCCGCGGTGCTATCGCTCCAGCCCCTCTCTCTCTCTCTCATTTATATTTATTTATTTTTCCAATGCTCAGGGGTTCCTCCTGGCTCATGCACTCGGGAATCACTCCTGGCGGTGCTCAGGGGACCCCATGGGACACTGGGGTTGGAACCTGGGGTCTGTGAGTGTGAGGCAAGGGCCTTACTCCCTGCCCAATCGCTCCGGCTGGCCATGGGGTTCCTCCTGCCTCCACTGCTTACCTCTGAGGACCATGTTGCGTTGGCTCTTCAAAATGGGTGTGTCGTGTGGCTGGAGCTTCCAGGTGAACTGGGATTTCGGAGGGCCTTTGCAGGGCAGCTCTGCCGAGTCGCCTGCCCCAGCTAACACCACTTCACTGCCCTGGACGCGGAGCAGGGCTGGGGAAAGGAGAGGAGGGTCACACCCCCGCCCCCCCAGGCCTTCTACTCTCCCCCTCCCAAGTCTGAGCACTCACCTAGCTGCAGTCCCAGGAGCAGGCACCCGAGAGGGGGTCCCCAGTTCATGATGGCCTCGCTGAGGTCGCGGCCGGAGTCAAGGGCAGGGCCTGGGGGAGAGGCAGAGTCCTCAGGGTGCGGGGCTGGGCACCTGCCCTCCCCTCAGAGACCCAGACACCCACCTGGAGGGCTCACGGGGGGGTGCTCTGGGCTATGACCGGGGTCCTCCTCGGGGGTGAGAGGACCCCAGCCATATCCCCGGAGAAAGTGGCGGATAGGAAGAGGTGGAGAGCGGGTGCCAGGCCGGGCCAGCGGCCGGATGCCAGAGACTGAGGGGCTGCCACCTGGCGTGCAAGGCCAACGCCCTATTGCTCTGGCCCCTGAATCCACTCCTGAGCCGAGAGATGTGCCGGGGACCAGGTGCAGCCCTGTGTCCCCACCCAAGACAGTTCCCACTGGGGAACCCCTGCGCTCGGCTCCAGCCGTCCCTGGGCCCCAGCAACGGGCGGGCGTTTTGGTACCTTCACCTGCACCTTCAGGGCCTGCATGTGCGGGTTGGAGTCTGCGGACCCCAGAACCCATCCCCCACGCCCACGTCTCAGCTCAGGCTGGGCTTCCTGTGGGGCTGACACAGCCTTGGCCCACAGCTGGAGGGAGGGCTGGGGGCGGGCAGAGGGGACGGGGCTTCCATCCCTTGCACAGGACTGACCCCACTTCCGTCCTCGGCACCTAACTGGGCCCCCTGAGTCCCGCTGAGCGAGGATCCCTGAGCACAGAGCCAGGAGGAAGCCCTGAGCACTGCCGGGTACGACTCCCCCTCCCCCCAAACGGAAAAACAGCAACAAAAACACATGCTGAGGGTTGCATCTTCCTGACGAGGTTTGGGGAGGGTCAAGGGGGCCCTCCCTGTGATGTTGGGGTGCCCAGCTCCCCAGATGTCCCCCAGGGCCTGTGCAGTGTCAGGGGGTGTCACCCAGGGAGAGGGAAGGTCAGAGGTCAGGAAGGAGCTTCTGGGAAGCTGAGAGGTTGTTTACAAGGTCAAGGTCACTGCTCTGTGGGCAGGAGCAGGACAGGGTGGGCCTGAGAGGCGCTGGGCCGGACTCCTCCCTCCGAGGGGGCCTCCCTGGGGTCCCCACAATGCCTCCCCTGTGGGAGAAGCCTCCCTCGTCTGGGGTCTACACTCTCCTCAGGTGCCTGAGGACAGTTGGGGGCTTCCTTCACCTACCCCCAGACAGACACACACACACAGACACACACACACAGACACACACACACACACACACACACACAGAGTCTGTATTTTCCCTCCCCCAGCTCCCCACAAAGCCTCCACCTCAGGCAGGACCGGGGAGGAGGCAGGGAGGAGGCCGTGGGCTTCCTGCCACCCGGAGCCTTTGAAGGCCGCGGGTGCGGTACAGTAGCCGCCTGAGAGCAGCCGGGCCGGGCGGGAGGGCGGGCAGCCTCCCCTCCCCCGCCTCCGCCCTTCCCCCGCCGGGACTTCGCTCCTCTCCTCTCACTGTACCCACCCTTGATCTCTCCCTCTCTCTGCTCGGCCCTCTCCCTCTCTCCCCCTCCCCCTCCCTCTCTCTCTTTCTCTCCCTCCTCTTTCTCTCCGTCTCTCTGTCCCTTCCTCTCTCTCTCCTTCTCTCTCTTCCTCTCTCTCTCCCTCTTCCTCTATCCCTCTCTCCCTCTCTTCCTCTCTCTCTACCTCTCTCTTCCTCTCTCTCCCTTTCTCTCTCCCATTTTCTCTTCCTCTTTCCCTCTCCCTCTCTCCCTCTCCCTCTCTCTCTCCCTCTCTCCCTCTCCTTCTCTCTCTCTCTTTCTCTCTCTCTCTCTCCCTCCCTCTCTCCCTCCCCCTCCCCCCTTCCCCCCTGTGTTCCCGCATCTATGCACATCTGTGGGGCAAAGCTGTGTCTCCCACATCCGGGTGTTGACTGCTGGCACCTCCTCTGCCCAGCCCACCCCCACCCCCCACCCGCCCTTGCAGCTCCTGTCGGGTCTCCCTCCCTCCTGGGGTGCTGCCCTCTGGAAACAGGTGGCCCAGCCTCGAGCAGGAAGGCAGAGGTCAGAGGCTGGCCGGCCAGCCTCCCTGGGGTGGGCAGAGGGAGACAAGGAGATAGATTCTGGGAAAGCCAGATGAGGGCTTGGAGGAGACTGGGGCGGCCCCTTAAAGCGCTGCGGCACTGCCCACCACCACACTCACTCGCAAGGCCGGGGCAGGACCCCCAAGAGGACAAAGAGAGGGCTGGAGCGATAGCGCAGCTGGTAGGGCGTCTGCCTTGCACGCGGCCAACCCAGATTCGATTCCCAGCATCCCATAGGGTTCCCTGAGCACTGCCAGGGGTAATTCCTGAGTGCAGAGCCAGGAGGAACCCCTGAGCATCGCTGGGCGTGACTCCAAAACAGCAGGAAAAAAAAGGGGCAAAGAGATGAGGAAACCCGGGGCTGGAGCAGCGGCCTGGCATGCCGGGAGCCTTGCCCGATGCCCGATGCCCGATGCCCGATGCCCACTTAGTCCACCCCCCGCCCCCTGCACCCCCATAAGCCTCTTCTAGCACTGAGCCGGGAGTGACCCCTGAGCGTGGCCCCCCCCAAGCCCAAGTGGAGAGGCTCATCACGGGTGAGCGGGAGACCGTCACGGGACCTCGCGGGCTCCTCTCAGCACCCCGAGCTTCCTGCCGCTCTCGCCTGAGAGGAAGAGGGCACGACCCCACCACAGCGACAGTCTGTGGTCCCACACGTGCTTTGATCTCCCCCCTCGGCCCCCAGCAGCCCCCTCCAGCCCGGCCAAGGCTGTGCCCCCACAACCCACCACACACGCTGCCTGCTTCCCACGGGCTCACACCCCTTCCTCGAGACCCTCTGAGGAGCCCTGCGGTTCCACCGCCACAACCTCCGCCATCCTCTCCTTTGCCTCAGCCGCCCACGGGGGCCCCTTTCTCCCCTGCGCCCCCCAAGGTGCCCGAGCAGGGCCCGACCTCTGTACCCAGCCCCACTCTGTCCCGGCATCCGGCTCCTCCGAGCTCTTTTCTTCGATGAGTGGGTCCCGAAGGTCTAAAGAGTGTGACGCCCTTAGCCCCACCGCCTGACACCCCCTCACCGTCACCTCACCCTCAGGTCTAGGACAGGATTCTCTGGTGACAAACCCCCCATCACCTGACCCTCAAGTCTAGGACAGGCCCCTCTGGTGACAAACCCCCGCCACCTCACCCTCAGGTCTAGGACAGGACCCTCTGGTGACAACCCCCCCCCTCCCCAATCACCTCATCCTTAAATCTAGGTCAGGCCCCTCTGGCGACAAACCCCCCGTCACCTCATCCTTATGTCTAGGACAGGCCCCTCTGGTGACAAACCCCTCATCACCTGACCCTCAAGTCTAGGACAGGCCCCTCTGGTGACAACCCCCCTGTGACCTCACCCTCAGGTCTAGGACAGGATTCTCTGGTGACAAACCCCCCATCACCTGACCCTCAAGTCTAGGACAGGCCCCTCTGGTGACAAACCCCCGCCACCTCACCCTCAGGTCTAGGACAGGACCCTCTGGTGACAAACCCCCCCCCCTCCCCAATCACCTCATCCTTAAATCTAGGTCAGGCCCCTCTGGCGACAAACCCCCCGTCACCTCATCCTTATGTCTAGGACAGGCCCCTCTGGTGACAAACCCCTCATCACCTGACCCTCAAGTCTAGGACAGGCCCCTCTGGTGACAACCCCCCTGTGACCTCACCCTCAGGTCTAGGACAGGATTCTCTGGTGACAAACCCCCCATCACCTGACCCTCAAGTCTAGGACAGGCCCCTCTGGTGACAAACCCCCGCCACCTCACCCTCAGGTCTAGGACAGGACCCTCTGGTGACAAACCCCCCCCCTCCCCAATCACCTCATCCTTAAATCTAGGTCAGGCCCCTCTGGCGACAAACCCCCCGTCACCTCATCCTTATGTCTAGGACAGGCCCCTCTGGTGACAAACCCCTCATCACCTGACCCTCAAGTCTAGGACAGGCCCCTCTGGTGACAACCCCCCTGTGACCTCACCCTCAGGTCTAGGACAGGATTCTCTGGTGACAAACCCCCCATCACCTGACCCTCAAGTCTAGGACAGGCCCCTCTGGTGACAAACCCCCGCCACCTCACCCTCAGGTCTAGGACAGGACCCTCTGGTGACAAACCCCCCCCCCCTCCCCAATCACCTCATCCTTAAATCTAGGTCAGGCCCCTCTGGCGACAAACCCCCCGTCACCTCATCCTTATGTCTAGGACAGGCCCCTCTGGTGACAAACCCCTCATCACCTGACCCTCAAGTCTAGGACAGGCCCCTCTGGTGACAACCCCCCTGTGACCTCACCCTCAGGTCTAGGACAGGCCCCTCTGGTGACAATCCCCCGTCACCTCATCCTCAGGTCTAGGACAGGCCCCTCTGGTGACAAACCCCCCGTCACCTGACCCTCAGTTCTAGGACAAGACCCTCTGGTGACAAACCCCCCCTGCCCAATCACCTCATCCTTAAATCTAGGTCAGGCCCCTCTGGCGACAAACCCCCCGTCACCTCATCCTTATGTCTAGGACGGGCCCCACTGGTAACCGGGTGTCAGCTGCTTAGAACCTATTGATGTGGGGAGCTTTTATTTCAAGAAGACCTTTTTGTTGTTGTTGTTCATGTGTTTGTTTGATTTTGGACCCACACCCGGCAGCGCTCAGGGCTGACTCCTGGCTCTGTCCTCAGGAGTCAGGCACTGGGGACCCTCTGGGGAGGTCAGGGATCGAACCCAGGTTGGCCGTGTGCAAGGCAAATGCCCGCCCGCTGGACCATCTCTCCGGCCCTCAGGAAGACCTCTTCTATTGGAAGCAGGGGTCATCTCTCTCTCTCTCTCTCTCTCTCTCTCTCTCTCTCTCTCTCTCTCTGTGTGTGTGTGTCTCTGAGACTGCAGTTGAGGGCGCCATTTTGTCTGACACTGCAGAATCTAGCAGGACCCGTGAAGTTATTTGTCGAGCCGGAGCGATGGGACAGTGGAGAGGGTGCTTGCCTGGCATGCCACCAACCCCAGAACCCCTCCAGCAGAGATCCCTGAGCATGGCCAGGGAGGGCCCCAAACCAGTCAGAGAAGG